GGGGGTGAGGTCACGTGGACAGAGTTCAGCGTTTCTTCGTGGGGAGTGAAACCTCTGGCTCACAGACCAGCTAAGCTGGCTCGGCTGAGGTGTGTTGGCGCCCCCTGCCGGCAGAGTTTAGCCGCTGCAGGCTGCTCCTCCATTTCCCTCCAGCTGCAGAGATCAGAGATCAAAGGTCAAGGTGGGGATCCTATTCTTCCTCACTGTGTGAGAATAAAGTTAATCCGAGTCTGTGGAAGACAGAGTGCAGAAGAAGAAACCTGCAGACCACCTGTAGTTCAGTCGCGTCTCCTCGTTTTTGAGTCTTCACTGTGATTTAGGCAAATTTAGTAATGCCAACATACTGAAGGAACAACATTTGTCTCTTATATATAACACATCTATATACACACTGTCACAGATACTTGAGTGTCTTTGAGTGAAGATTTAAGGTGATGGGACATAAATAGCTGCAACTTGTATATTTACTGAAGCTCAGTGGTTCACTCACATGTGCTGTACCAGTGTACCTGCACGTGATGTGACAATAGAAGTGATTTGATTTGAGAGTTCAAACTCACTGCTGTAATAACTGATGATTAATATAATAACTATAATATTGGCCATATCATATTTACACTGACTTTAGTCTCATGAACAACATTAGCTAATTGTTATTTACTAACTAATCTTAAATAACTGTTCAGTACAGAAATGAAGCCCAACAATCATGTTTCACAGTCCTGTGGTCTCAGCCTCAGATACTCATTAATTGGGAATTAAGGAAATGGCCTGTAACCATGGCAACCACAGGTTACTAGGGGAAATGAGGCGTCTGTCAGCGACCCAGAAACCTGCAGCGACAGCACAGAGTTGACCTTTCCGCCCGGGGTCACCGTTCGGTCTGCAGGCCCATGCCACATGGTCGTCGTCATGGTGATTTATTTTTCCGAGGCCACGTGGTACAGACGTGTTTTCAGGGCAGTTCTGGTTTAGCTTAAAAAGCAGAAAACGCTCATTTCCTGTTCCACGGGAACAGACTGTATGTAAAAGATGGACCAACAAAAGCAACGGCCCCAAGGTGGGTTTCCCCCCGCAAGTCAAAAAAAAAAAACGTGTTTGTTTCTCAGATAAAATAAAAACGTTTTCCGTCGGCTTGAGCGCCGACGTGTTTGGATACGACGGACGGTCGGCGGCTAAAGCTGAAAACCCGTCACGACGCGTCATCGCTGCTCAGACTGTTTTCACGTGTACCAAGGCGGTCATGTGACTGTCGAGCTGTCGGACTTCGTCCTGGATCAGTGCTGCCGATCCACAGATAAGTAATCAGTTTATCTTTGCCGAGTAATCAGATTACTGGAGCTGGGAAAGCGTCACGCAGCAGAGGTTTGACCTCATGTCTCTATTTGAGTCTTAATGTAATCGAGTACTTTTACTACAGTACAGACGCGCGTGTCTGTCCCCAGCAGCTTCATGTTTCTGCTTCCTGTCGCTTCGGCGCTGCGTCTGTCTGACGCGTGGCCGTGCGGCTGCAGGACGCCGTCTCATGAAATAAACATTCAAACACGTTTATTTTCTGAACGATTTTATACAAACTTGATTACAGTAAATTTACATGTTTAAAAATACTTTTATTACAAAAACAAGTGTTTGAATCCTGCTGTCAGTTAAAATAGAGCGCTCCGCTAACACATGCTCCGGCTCCTCCAAACATTCCAGTTTCCTCGTTTAGCAACACGCTAGTTCTAAAAGCGGAAATCTCCCGCCGCTCTGGGACACTCCTGGCGAGCACATCTGAACTCTGAGATAGCGCCGCAGCAGGCCAGCCTGCTTCCCATGATGCACTTCTTCACTCCCTGGGTGTTCGATCGCCTGCTGCGGCTCCTTAGCTTGACCCCGCCTCCCTGAGCCGGAGGTTTCCTCCTGTTAAAGCGAGTTCTTGCTCCCCGCTGTCACCAGGTGCGACTCGCGGGGGTTTGATTGGTGGGTTTCTGTCCAACCCCGCAGGCGGTCAGAGGAGAGAAACTTTAACGGATCAGGTTTGCGGGGTTGTTCGGCTCCTCCCCCTGGCGCTCTCGCGTCGTCTCTCTTTGGCTTAAGTCTTCGTCTCTCGTTAACGTCAAAAAAATAAAAGCGTGATTAATGAAGCTCTGAACCGTCTCTGAAGTCGCACACGGAGCTCGCCCTCTCGCCGTCTGCCTCTACAGTTTGATGAACAGCACGGCGGTCACCACGGCAAAGCCCACCAGCAGCACGCCCACCTTGGCGATGCGGTTCCTGCCGGCGGCGAGCTCGTGCGGTAGGATCTCCATGAAGGTGATGTAGATGAAGGTTCCCGTCGCCAGCCCCTCCAGCGTGCAGCGGGCCAGCTGGTGCCCCGGCGACGTCTTGGTCTCGGTGAGGCCGACGCCCAGGCCGACGCCCAGCGGCGACATGACGGCGAACAGCAGCAGGCAGCCGACCACCGCGGAGCGACGCAGCCGGGCCTGACACAGCTTCACGGTCAGGCTGAAGGAGATGATGCTCTTGTGGATCATCAGGGCGAGGCAGATCTCCAGCACCTCCCGCCCCTCCTCCAGCAGCCCCACCGCCAGCCCCTCGAACACCGAGTGCAGCGACAGCGAGAAGACCAGGATGAAGGCGCGCAGTGCGGACTGAGAACCAAAGTCCACGTGGAAGTGACCGTCAGAGTCCGCCGAGCCTCGGCGGCGGTGATCGTTGGATTGAATGCTGGAGTCCACCAGCAGAGAGCGCCGTTCCTCCGGGGACGGCGACGTCTGGTCCTTGAAGGCCAGGATGATCTGCTCCAGGACCAGGACCAGGAAGAAGCCCATAGCCACGATGAACTCGGGCAGGGGGAACTGCAGCTGAGGAGGAAGAGGAGGAGAGTCAGCTTGAGATACCTGCGTCTGGATTCATCTCCAGGATCCAAAACTGAGACCTGAATGTTCACAAATCTGAATAAATCATCAAAAAACGTCAATATTTAATAAAACGTTAAAAGTAGAAACTCCAGAAC